GTTCATTCACACACGAAGACAGCGGGAGGACAAGCTCGACCGCACGTGCTAAACGCAAGCCGTGCGCGTGGAGAGGAGGCGCAGGAGTGAAGTGGCCTTGTTCTTTCTCTGGCTTCTTTTTCCTGCTTCTTTGCATCGAGGTGTACTTGAGGGCTTGGGCGGTGTAGTTTGAGAGTCTCTATACTTAGTAACTACTGGGGCCACGGGGCGCCCTGATTCTTACTTAGAGCTAGTGCTAATTTGATGCGGCCTCTACAGCGATCAACTCCCTGTGAGCTGTTTTGTCTCAGATTTAAGTGAGATACTGAATTAGAGAAAATGAAAAAGAAAGTGAAAAGGTATCCTTGAAGAATAGTGTTCTTAACAAAGGAGAAAAAATGAGTAAGTTAACCTTTAAAAACAAGGGAAACTGAATCTGAAAAGGAAGATGAAAGAAGCTTAAGAAAAAAACCAAAAGGTGGTGAGAAAATTAGCCAGAGTAAAAGCTAGTACAGATTCGTCTTAAACTGTTCGCATGCGGAGTCAGAAATGCGGATCAGTCGGATCCTTCTCGCTTTCTGAGTTTCTGTCAATTCATTTTATTTTTCCCTTTGGAGTTTTCAGATGTAAAAAACAAAAAGGAGTTTTTAAAAGACTGAAGAATCTGGAAAAGCATGAATCCAAATAGTCCATGATTATTCTAGTTTTACAATTAGAAGTGCTAACTAACATGTACTATTTGATAAAATTCTGGCATCAGTCATGCCTACAAAAATGTTTACAACCAATAATCTATTCTTTTTCCTTAAAAATAATGCTTTGGTAGTTGGGCATGGTAGTGTGGTGCATGCCTGTAATGCCAGCACTTGGGAGGCTGAGGCAGAAGGATTACTGTGAGTTTGAGGCCAGCCTAGGCTACTAAATGAGTTCAAAGCCAGCCTGAACTGAACAGGGAAAGCCTGTCTCAAAAAGACAAAAAAAAAAATTAATAATACTAAAATAATGCAAAAAATAAAATCCTTTGGTTAGCAGCCTACATAATCTACTTTTGATTAAAAGGAGGCCAAAGGGAAGCAAAATGAGTGTATTTCACTAATTTGCCTCCCATTAACCCTGCTTCAGAAAACATATGTAATGAAGTTTAGGGGCTGCGCATACAGCTCAGGGACACCTTGCACTGCCTGGCAAGTGCAAGGTTTGGAGTTCGATTTCCCGTACCAAAAAAAAAAAAAAAAAAAAAAAAAAAGTCTAACATCCTTGGACGGTGGTGTTGCTGTTAGTCCTGTAAATCAAGGCTTAAAGCCCTAAGCCTTAGCAACTTCAAGGTCTAGCAGGTAAAGTCAGAGAGTGGAGCCATTCTGATTAGGGGTCACTTGAGGCCCCTGAAGGGAGTCAATATTTTAATTTACACAGCAGCCATAACAGCTAGATTAGTCCCCTAGCTTGTCAGTTAACAGTATCTGCACCGCTCACCCTGGCAAGAAAAGGTGTGTGCTTAGGTATCATAAGAGCACTGTTCTTGAAACGTGGGTATAAATTTACTTGAGCGGACTAATGTAGTTAGAGGTGGACACCAACGGACAGCAACCCAAACAAATGTCTTGAACAAAACGCACAGACAGGGGCCGGTGAGATAGCTCAGCAGTCTAAAGCGCCTGCTTAGGCAAGTGCAGTAACTGCAGTTGGATCCTCGGCACTACATGCCGCGCCAGCCCCACCCCCAGGATGGGCTGAGCAGGCCACAAAACAAAACAGCGCAGACAGAATGAGCACCCAGCTGCTAAAGAGGTGCTGGAGAACACCTGATGGTTGTGAAAAGTGGTTTTTGGAGGCAAAGAAAGTCATATATCCTTCTTAAAGGTCTATGTCTATCATATGAATTTCTGTGGCTTTAATAATGGAAGAGCTTATTGAAACAAATCATATAGAGATA